TCTATTTTGCAGCTTTCCTGCGAGGCTTAAACAAGTGTGAAGCATTATGTAAGTTAGAAAATGCTCTATAAATGGAAGCTTTTGTGACAGATGCAGGGACAGTCCATGGGACTAGAGCCCAGAAAGCCTGACCTCTCTTTCCCCTCTCCCCAATACATTGTTCTCTTTACTATAACATGGAAGTTTCAGGAAGAAAACAAATTACTTTCCTTTTGAATCAAGAGACCACATGCCCAAACTGGAAGAGTCCAGAGGCATCTTAGTTTGTGTGTGTGTGTGTGTGTGTATGTGTGTGTGTGTGTGTGTGTGTGTGTGTGTGTGATGAATATTTTGGTTTCTCAGAGTGTTTTGAGTTTCATAAAATAAATTACATAGAATTACAGAAGAAACAATTATATTGAAATATAGCTATAAAAACATTTTTTAAAAAATTTACAAACTGGGCCTGCTAGGTGGCGCAGTAGATAGAGCACCAGCCCTGGATTCAAGAGGACCTGAGTTCAAATACGACCTCAAACACATAACACTTACCAGCTGTGTGACTCTGGGCAAGTCACTTAACCCCAAATGCCTCACCAAATACACACACACACACACACACACACACACACACACACACACACATATATATATATATATATATGAACCCTAAGCTAAGAATTTCTGATTTAGGCCAATCACCTTCATTTACAGCTGATGAAAAAGGCCATGGAGATTGCATGTTTCCTAATATTACAGATACGGGAAGCAGAAGATCCCGGAGATGAACTGCTTAGTGTTCTATCTTCTCCACTCGGCTGCTTGCTAATCATGAAAGCCAGCCCATGAGTGACAGGGCAGATCTCCCCAAAATGACCCCAAATAGGACCAAGATGAGAAGCAGACATGGCATCCCTATACAATGGACATGACCCGACACAGCACTCAGAAGAGGCAGTGATTCCAAAGATGGCGCATGAGCCTATTCCGTTGGGAAACTTGTCCTGCAGTGCCCTCTCCCCATCACTGCTTGTGAGCTGCACTTCTCTATGGCCTGAGATGAAAGTCAATGACTGACACATAGTTAGGACTCTCTCAGGAGCCAGTGAGCAGCAATGCATACTTCGTCTCTTCCCCCAATCTAGAGCCATTGAAAAGTAAGCCCTGGAGACCGAGTGGATATCAGTGATACAATGAGCCAACAGAAGGGTGATCTGAGACATTTCCCCTCAAAAGTCAGAAGTCGGTATGCCCTCCCTCTGAGAGGCCCCTCCCCTCAGAGACATACCATGGCACTGGGACACCTGGGTTCAAGTACCAACTTCTGCCCTTCATTAGCTTGGTGATCTTTGGCACATCCCAATTGCCCTGGGTCTCAGTCAATTCATATGCTAAAATGAAGTCATTGGACTAGATGGTATCTGATTTCCCAGCTCTAAATGTAGGATCTTGTGATTTATAAAATGAAGAGGCTGGACTTGGATCATTGTTTTAGAGCAAGAAGGGACCTTAGCGATCGTCTAATCTAAACTTCTCATTTGACAGATGAAGTATTCAAGACCCAGGGAGGCTAATGACTTGTTCAAGGTAACCCAGGTAATAAACCATAGAGAAGGCTTCTTGCAGTTCAAAGTGTCTATGGTTCAGAACTGCTCCACTCCATTTTTCAAATGATTTCGACTATGTTACTGAATTATTGTTTTGTTAAACCACTATATATTATTCTCTTAGTCAGTGGATACTAGTCAATATAATTCAATATAATTCAATCAGTCTCAAGGCCACATGTGACCTTCTAGGTCCTTGGGTACAGCCTTCTGACTGAGCCCAGGTTTTACAGAGAGCATCCTTTCATTAAGGGGATTTGTTCTATGAAGTTTGGATTCAGTCAAAAGACTACACTCAAGGACCTAGAGGGCCACATGTGGCCTTGAGGCCAAAGGTTCCCCACCCCTGATTTAGTCTATACAAGGCAGCATGCTTGGAGCTGGAGATGCAAAACCAAAATTATCTGTCTCAAGGAGAATATAGCATCCAGATGTCCCAAAAGTCTTAGTTCAGTTTTGAACTTTAAAGTTTAAAAGTGCACTAAAATTTTGAGACCCCTGTATATAAAAGTAAGGAAATATACATAATTATGAGAGAGACAGAGACAGAGAGATAAAGAAAGAGACACACAGAGACAGAGAGACAGACAGAGAGTACTTATAGCTGGGGGGATCAGGAAAGGCTTCATGTAAGAGGGAGCAGCTGAGCTGAGCCTTGTAGACAGGTCATTAAACAGCATTCCAAGCATGAGGGACAGCCTATACAAAGGCCTCAGGAAGGGAGATGGAATGATGGGTAATAGGACTATTATCATATGAGGGGAGGGGAGAGGCAGTCCATGAAATTTCTCAATGTTTAAAAAGGGCCCTTGTACTCAGAAAGGTTGGGAACCTTCTGCTCTAACAATGATTTGAAATACTGTTTCAGAAATCTCAGTGGTGAACTCTCAGCATCTGAGACATGCAGAAATGAAAGGGGTTTTCTGGGACAGAAAGATGGTGAGCTGACCCAAAGGTCAATATCTGGTTTTTGTTTTACGGATTGCGGGTACTGCTGAGTATGGCATTTTTCAATGCCTTTCTTGGGCATCCAGCCACTCCAAAGGAGGCCTGTGTAAAATATCCGAACCCAGTGCTCCTGTGAGCCAACAGGCAGGCACTTTCACAAGAACCATCCTGGAATATACTAAAATAAAATCCTACTGCAAACAACATAGGAAGGAAATGTTCTGAAGATTACTGACTTAGGAGAGAAATAAAACGTCAGAACGATCCTGTCTCCAGGAAGGTGAACTGAAATCAACTAACAGATTGCATGTCCTCCCAAGACAGTCAGTGATTGCAGACCTTGAGAGGTCTTGCACAATCCATTGCATCTTTTGGAAACCTAGAAGGGCCCTATCAAGTGGAGATGACTCCATGACCTGAGCCAACAAGGCAGAGAGCCGCTGGATAACATTTTCAGATCTCTAAATTTCACTTTAGCTACACACACACACACACACACACACACACACACACACACACCCCTCAGTGTTGCAAATGGTCTCAAAAGCTGACCCACACCTGAACAAGAATCTACCCTCTAGCATACCCAACACATAGGCATCTAGACCAGCTGAAGACCTATTATGTGGAGGAATCCATCACTTCCTGAGGCAGTCAAATTCACTTTTATATTGTTCTAATTTTAAGACTTTTTTTTATTTGTTTTCCCTGACATTGAGCCTAAATCCTCCCCTTCCCTAACCACCAACTCTAGAAGAGGTTCACAATAACAGATTACAGCTGGAAGAGACATTAGAGGCCATCTAGTCCAAGTATCTCATTGAACAGAAGTGATCTGTGCAAGACCAAACAAGGTTTAGGCTCCTTTCCATCTTATCCCCATCGCTTCTCCCCTGCAATACTGCAAACAGCCTCCTAGCAGCTGGCCTGACGCCCAGTCTCTCCCCTCTCCTGTCCATCCTCCACAAAGCTGCCACAGGGAAATTCCCAAGGCACAGCCCAGCCCTGATCAGTATACTTCAGTGGCTCCCAATTTCCCTTAAAATGCAATAAAGCTCCTCAAAACCAGGCTATGAATTTCCTTTCCAGACTTATCTTATGTCACTCCACTTAATGGACTATTTGAGTTGGCCAAACTGGACTTCTTTATGTTCATGCATGATGTTCTGACTCCCACCCTGTGCTTTTGTCCTTTGTGCCTGGAATACCCTCCTTCCTCACCTTGGCTTCTCAAATCCCCATTTTCCTTCAAACACTGTCTGCTACATGAAGCCTTCCCTGGTCTTCCTCAGTTGCTAGTACTTCTCCTACAAAAACTGACCTCATAATTATACCTGTTAATTTTACATCTACTTGTATGTAGATGTCTCCTGCTATATAGAATTTAAGGCTCTTGAGGGCAGGGATTGTTTCATTTTTATTTTTTTTTAACCTCTAGAATTTGACATAATGCATAACATAGCACAATTTTAATAAAAACCTTCTGAATAATTGGTTGATTATTTCCAGCTCTCCCTTTTGGGCTATGCAGAGCACAAAGTGCTTTGCAAATCCTTGTTGACCAACGTGCCTGTCTTCCCCACAATAGACTTTTATTTGTTTGAAAAAACCCATTGTGTCTCCTCCAAGATTCCCCTTCTCCAGGTAAAACACTCATAGCTCCCTCAGACACACATACAAAGTCAAATCCAAACATACACACTCATGATCAGCCCTGCTTGTGGTTACTGGTACCAAACTCCTTTCAGTTCAGCTCTACTGTGTGTATGTATATACGTATACATATGTGTGTGTATATATGTGTGTATGTATGTATGTATGTACATCTATATGCATATGTGTAGGTGTGTATATATACATATACATGCATGCATGCATATATTTACATAATGTATTAAGGAGAAGGTAGTCAGGTAAGGGAGTCTCTCCGGCTTACTAAAGACCAAACAATCCATAAAATGGAGTTTCCATTCATAGTCTCATATTCTCTCATTCCATAGCCACAGACTCTTGAAGGGGCTCACAACGTAGGAAACAGTATCACAGATTACAGCTTTAAGGGGACTTTGAGGTCTTCTAGTGCAACCCTCTCGATTAACAGATGATAAACTGTGGCCCAAAGAAGTGACTTGTCCAAGGTGCAAAAGTACCAAGGGGAAGGGCAGAGATTTGACCCCAAGTCCTGTGTCTCCAAATTCAGCCCCTTTTTCCCTCCTTTGCATTGCCAAATGCCCCAATTCATGCCTGGGTGTATTGAGGGAATGGGGCCTAGACCTCCCTAACTCATTTTCCTTATTTCTTATACAACCAGGAAGGATTACTTGATCTGTCTCCAAACCTTATATTTTCCCCCTTGTCAATTGGGAGGGAGGGGTTACTTCCTGATTATAGCTTAAAAGGGCTTTTTTCCCCAAGGTAGATATAATTCCCTTCTTAAAAGTAATAGAACAATAACAAAGAACTCACCTGATAATTTTCAACAGTAATTAAGTTTCTGAGGATGGGGAACCACCACTTGGGTTGCTCCTCACAGAAGATTAACAGCTTACTTTACTCTGGATACCTGTGAGTCAGCACTTCCCCGACAGATGGAGGGGATTCGTTCTAAAAATAGCCTCACCTTGCTTCTCCCCTCTCCTCCCACTTCAGCCCCCTGCCTCCCAAGGTCAGATTTGGCTTCTTCTAGTAATTCTGCAACAAGATAAGTCTCTACCAATCAACAAAAGAAAGAAACCAAAAGGAAAATAGCACAGGAGATTCATAGCCCATCCTTTCTATCCTGTCATAATTTAGCTCAATGCCACAGGGAGCCAGCAGGCTCCAAGTTAAATGTGGTTTTCACCTGGGAACCACCCGGAAAAATTAACAACCACCTAGGGACCCAGTTTTTGTCAACAACAAAGGAAAAGAAAGTTTCCAGTGCTGTTTAATTGTAGCACCAAACACAGAGACTTCCCTCACACCTCATTATGACATCATAAACATTTGCATAAAACAGAATTGGACTTCTCCATCTGAGCCTTTCATTTAGCTAGATGGAAGTGACAGATAAGAAGAGAATAGAGATAATGGTGTCTCAAAGGAGGATAGGGAATCAGTCAGAGGAGAGAGAATCACCCCCAGAAGAAAAAGAAAAAATAAAATTACACAATGCCTGCTCTATCTTTTTAAAAGGATCTTTTACAAATTCAACTTGCTTATAACTTTTGAGAGATGTCAATGTCTTTAGTGGGATGGCAGGAAAGGGAACCAAATGTCTGCTAGGAACTTACAGACTAATGTTCTAAAGGTGAGAAATTCTATGTCTTAATTTACTCTGTGTGTGTATGTGTGTGTGTGAGAAGAAGAGAAGAAGAAGAAGAAGAAGAAGAAGAAGAAAAGAAGAAGAAGAAGAAGAAGAAGAAGAAGAAGAGGAGGAGGAGAAGGAGGAGGAGGACAGGAAGAGGAGGAGGATAGGAAGAAAGAGAGGCAAAGGAAAAGAAAGGAGGGGAGGGCCTGAGGGAAAGGGAGAGGAGGGAAGAGGAGAGATATGTAGAGAAAGACAGAGGGGCAGAGAGAGGCAGAGACAGAGGGATAGGGAGATGTAGAGACAGAGAGAGACCAACAGAGAGAGACACAAAAAGAGAGACAGAGAAGGAGAGAGGGAGGAGAGGAGAAGGGAAAGGGAAAGAAAGAGCAGAGAGAAGATGGAAAAAGGTGGAGAAAAATAGAAAATACAGAGACACAGAAAGAAAATATATACAAAGCAACCTCCTTTCAGGTCCTGGAGATGCCATTTGGGATTCCTTCAATCTCTTCTTCTCTGGTCCTGTCCCTACTTAAACATCCTCCTTTCTCCTTAATTCTGCTATTGCAATATTTTCCCAGAATCTCAGAGTGGAAAGGAATTTCAATGACTATCTGGCCACTTCACACCTGAAAAAGAGGTTATGCAATCTACAAGTGGTCATCGACCTTCCACCTGAGGCCTCTCGTAGGGGAGAACCCACAGCCACCCAAGGCAGACCACTCCACCTATGGACAGCTCCAGTTAATAAGGAATTCTTCCTAACATCAAAGCTAATTGAACTCCCATGTTTCTTCCCACCAAACAAGAGTGTTTCAAGCATGATGTGTTAAAATGTTGACAGGAATTCATTGGACAAATTGAGGAAAGGAAGATAACCCAGTCACAGGGAACAGTGTATACACACACACACACATCTATGTATTTGCATGTATATATTTGTATGTATGTATGTGTGTGTGTATATATATATCTGTATCTGTATCTGTATCTGTATCTGTATCTGTATCTGTATATGTATATGTATATGTATATGTGTATGTATATGTATGTGTACATATATAAATACAAGCCAAAACATGGAGGTGAGAAAGCAAAGGACCTGTATGAGAATAGAAATAATCCAGTTTGAGTGGACCATGGACCCCATGGCATGAGTAATAACAGATAGGGCTAGGGTGGCAAGCAGCCTACTGTTTGACTCTAGAGGGATGAATGAGGAGCATGGGGAGGGGCAGGGGTTGGAGTCATGGGACCAGCTTCAAATCCTGGTGCTAGCACTTAATTCCTACTTATCCAACAGGAATTTATTAAGTACCTATTAGGTACAAACACTACTAGAGATACAAAAACAAGATGAAAAATGGCATCTGACCTGCTTCAAGGAGTTTGCATTCTTCTGGGACATAGAATCTATAAGCATAGGTAGATGGGTGGCACAGTGGATAGAATGCTATACCTGAAATCAGGAAGACCTGAGTTCAAATCTGCCCTCAGACACTCAGTAGCTACATGACCCTGGACAAGTCACTAATCTCTCTCAGCCATAGTTTCCTCATCTGTAGAAGAAAAAGGAGGAGAAGGAGGAGAAGGAGGAGGAGGAATAGTATTAGTACCTACCTCTCAGGTTAATGTGAGGATCAAATGAGATACTTATAAAGTACTTTGCACACCTTAGAGTGCTGTATAAATGCTGTAATTGTTGTTGTTGTTACTAAATAAACATATCCTTTGAGAAGGGAGGGAGAACACTAGCAAAGAGAAGGATCATGACAGGCTTCCTTTATAAAATAGAACAGAGGTTGAGCCTTGTAAGCTAGTAAGTATAAGAGGTGGGGATGAAGGAAAGAGAGTGTTCCAGGAATATAGAGCAGTCTAAGCAAAGGAATGGAGGGGGGAGATGTCTGGCAAAATTAAAGGAACAGCACATGGCCAGCTGGGCTGGATGGAGAGTGCAAGATGGGGACAGGTAGTTTAGACAGGTAAAGTGGATGCTCGTTGTCAAAGAGTTGGGCCAAGTAACAAAGTCGGTATTTTAATACCTGTATGTGGTACCTGCGTAACTGTGGACAATTAGCTTCCCCTCTCTGGAACTCAGTTTTCCTCCTCTGTAAAATGAGGGTGGTGGACATGATGACTTCAGAAGTTCTTTGCCCCTCTAAATCTACATTCCTATGAAGATTAGCTAACATAGGCAACGGAGGTACCATCCACATGATGGATGGATCTTCAAAAGCCCTTCCTGGAAGGTCCTTTCTGTCCTCGTCTTGATACAGATGGCTTGCTGCAAATCAATCAATCATCATTTATTAAGCATCTGCTATGCAGCAGGCACTGCTCAAGGATGGCCAATCATTTGGAGACAGGGCTACGCTTGTCAGCAGGCTATACTCACTGCTTTCAGCTGAGGTGAAAATCCTCAAAAATGACACTTTCTAAGGAAGAGTGATTCCCTGCATCCTGCCCCCCAGAATCTTAGTTAGCCCTTTTCCCCACTTAACACATTGCATTTCTCTCCCAGCCTTAGGCATGACATCTTCCTTCAGTTCTTTATCTCAAATGTGTCCCTATTTCCATTCTCTGGAGAAGAATGCATCATTTGAATCCACTGTCAGCTTTAAGTGGACTTTAGTAGCATGGGGTCTTGGGGGTCTGAAGAGGATGGCAGGATTTTAAGAGACACCATCCATTGAATTCATCTCTTGTCTACTCTTCTTCCTCCTGTACCCATTCTCATCTGTCCAGAAAACCAAAGTATCCTTTCGAGACATGCAAGACAGGGACGTGAAGCCTCCGTGACATGTCCTCTCCATCCTTATGGCTTGAAAAAAGGGGGAGAAATGCCCCGAGACCCACAGTGGGACCCTTTACCAAGGCCATCAAATTTCACAGCTTTTTTTTGAATGGTTGTAATAATGACTGACATTTATACAGGAGGGCGAACACTCTTTTTCATTGTGAATTTCTTTCCCCAGCATGTAACACAGTGCCTGACACATGCCTAATAATAGAGGCAGATTAGAGATGATGCAATGAATTGGAATTGGAATCAAGAAGACTCCATTTAACATATTGCCTTAAACATTCATACCCGTATCATCCTTAACCTTTCTCAGCCTCAGTTTTCACATCTGTAAAATGGGGAGAACAATAGCACCCACCTCACAAGACTGCTGTGATAATCACATGAGATCCCATATGCAAAGCACTTTTAAACCTTCTATATGAATTCTGGCTATTACTATTGTTCATAAATGTTGATTTTTCTTGTAATATAACTGACATTTATAGAGTAGAATGTAAGCTGCTGGAGGGCAGAAATTCTTTCATTTTGTCTTTTCAGTTCTAGTACCTAGCACACTGCCTAGTTACGCATGATGGGAGTTTTTAACAAGTGTTTGGTCCAATGATGGTTCTTTAAGGTTTGCGAAGGGCTTTCCATACATCATCTCAACTGAGCCTTTCACGAGGCTAATCTTTCTGTAGGTATTACTATCAGATGAGGAAACTGGAGTTAAGAAAGGTAACATCTTACCCAGGATCACAAGTGCCCCAGGCAGGATTTGAACCCAGATCTGGACTCCAAATCCAGCATTCTATCCACCACCCCTCAATGGCTGCTCTGTGATACGAGTGAGCATTTATAGCCTGATCTTCCTGATTCAGAGGTTGATTATTCAATTTGTGAATTATCCATATAATTTGTTCTTTTCCTCCTCTTCATTTCCTGCTCTGGGTCAATTCCCTGCTCATTATCACTCCAACAGAGGGTAGGCGGAGAAATTAAATACACATAAATTGATTTTCCTGTTTGTTAGCAGATCTCCCTACAAGTTTTGGAGGGGGAAATAAGTGAAACCCTCTGCAGATTTGTATTAGCCATGCTACCTTTTACCCCCTTCTGTTGCAGTACCATCTCCAAGATGAAGGGGGAAAGAAAATGCAAACAACAGCTCTCTCTTAAAAGCAGTGGGATCCTCTTAAGGAAACCAAATGATTAATCATGGGCTTAGCATTCATAAGCTACAGTTGCATGAGTTTTGTGATATGAAGCAATGCTTAGAAGTGTCAGGGCTCATTTCAAGGCTATCTGCAAAGGGAAGCTTGGGCAAGTGTCCCAGCCAAATTCTGAGGACATCATACTGACAGTCAAATTATTATTATATGGTCTTTAACATTACAAAGAATCATAGGGGCTAGAACTAAAAACAGCCTAGAAGTCTTTTAAAGCTTAGATTTCTAAGTCTAAACTTATCTTACAGATGAGGAAACTGAGGCACAGAAAGGTGAAGTGATATTACCTTACCTGATTTTTACCAAAACACAGAGAGACAGGTCAAGCAAATGTTGGCATTTTTTTCTTCCCATTTTATATGATGAACATGAAGATGAGGTGTAGGAATGGTCTGCGCAAGAGTAATGAAGCTGACTTTACTGCTCTTTCCACTCTGCCACAGTGTCTCTCATAAAGAATTCTTAGAGGGGCAGCTAGGAGGTGCAGTGGATAGAGCACCGGCCCTGAATTCAGGAAGACCTGAGTTCAAATCCAGCCTCCGATCAAACACTTGACACTTACTAGCTGTGTGACTCTGGGCAAGTCACTTAACCCCAATTGCCAAAAAAAAAAAAAGAAAGAATTCTTAGACTTCTCCATGA